ACCGTGAGGATGTTCTTGGCCAGGCGGACTTGGCCGGTGTAAACCAGCACCAGGTGGCGTGCCAGCAGGTCTGGAACCTCAGGCTGCAGCTCCACAGGCTGGGGGGTCACCCTGACAGGTAGGGCTGCAGGACTTGTCGCTAGCACCGCCCCTCCCATCACCCCTCCTGCCTGGTCCTGCCAGCCTCCCCCTGTGGTCAGCAGCTGCTCCACATACAGCACCTGCCACACAAGTCAACTCCCAGCTTCTAAAATACATTGATTCACAAGAGAATAAATATCCATCTACATAGAAACTCTATAAAAAATATTGCTCTAAACTCTTTCTGACCATTAGGCTTATAAAGTCTTATAATAAGTTGGTGGATGAGAGGGTAACACACTCGATTCCCGACAGTCATGAACCGGGATTGAAACTCGTGTTAAAATTTGTTTAATATGTGAATAACCTTCACATATTATTCATAGTTTCAATTATCATGAACTAGGTAGGTTTCTCTTGCTGAGCGGTACCTATTTATGTGATTTGAACCAGGCTTATAAAGGTATGAGGACTGTCACCCCTCAAGATTTGGCACAGGTTGTCATTACCACAATTTAGCTTGTTACAACAGGATTCTGTTTAAGGCAATTGTTCCTGGAGATGCAACTTTATATTCTAGCCAAGAATTTGGTAATATGGTATGTCTTAATTAAAATTTATATTTGGGACTTACTTTATAAGCATTAAGCTATAAATCATTTTTAGCACATGTTTAAAAAATTACTATAAATATGAATTTAATTAAGATTGACTTTGGTGCATAATTGTGAGAAATCAATGGGACTAGGAGGCTCACAAGACCAAATAGGTCTACCTTAAGTGGTGCCCCAATTAGAGAACCTACCCCATGGATGAGATGAGTCCGCTGGAAGATAGTCCCTGCCAGGGTCCAGACCACAGCCAAAAGGGCAGCACCCAGGACACTGCTGGTGCCAAGCCCGGAGCCCTGAGGCAGGTTGGACCAGGCATGGAGGGACAGTCCTCGGCCCCCCTCCAGCTGCTTCTCCAGGGGCGGGGCCTTCTTGCCCAGGTCTACGTAGCGGGAGAACACCAGGACCGCCTTCACCAGAGCTCCTAAACATTGTATAAAATTATAATATTATCTGAATAATGGTTTAACCCACTGTGCAGGGTACAAGCCCAGGTAAATATTCCATACAGTCCGTCCAATCTGGAGATGGTACTGTGACATACTTAATTTTACTGTTGCCTAGTATAAACATTTTATCAATAACTAGCGGATGTGTACCCGGCTTCGCCCGGGTTTTATCCGAGTGAAAGTTTGCCTAACGAATATTATATATTATGAAGTATAATAAACAATGTTAAAGATTAGTTTTAATTATTAATCAAGATTGTGTGTGAATATGTGAGAAAGATGTAATATCGTTGTTGTTTTCTTGGCCGACTGTTTTACATATGGTGTTATCTTAAAATTGCTTGTTTTGAATATTTTTTTAGATTGAGTTGAATGAATTGCTGAATTTTTTTTTGTATTTATATATAAATAAAATTAACTCTGTTGATTTTTTTTTGTATTTAATCGATAACAGCGAAGTTACGCATGTTAAAGTTAGGAAAAATATTTTGATGTTAAGCAAAACCTGCTCCATCTCGTTTTACATAAATGTTGAAAATTTGGTCAAAATTGATGCATTGTAACGAAAGTTTTTAGTGAACAACACTTATGAAATTTGCATTTTATTAATATAGATATCCAACAAATTGTACATCAGTTTGATACCGTTTTAGAATATTTTTTTAAAGTGATTAGTTTCCAAATGAATTTCAAACTAAGAGCAATTCTAAAACTAAATACCTTCCGTTGATGGCCAGTGCAACATGCCAACAAGAACATCCAAAGGTCGGGGGTTCCTAAGCTGCGACTCAATACAGTCGAACCTTGTGTAATAACCATCACCATGGAGCAAAGAGATTTTAACGGGGACTTCAAACTTGGGATTTTGAAATTAGGATAACAAGGCTGGTGTTATAAAAAGGTTTTCACCACCGTGCTGTGACTGGTTTCTCTGCATTAAATGGGGACTGGCAGCTCCTAAGTCTCAGTTCACTAGCCTAAATGGCTGTTGAAGGATTCCTTAATGGATTTATCTTTTCCTTATACCTTAGTGTGATTGAGTGGAGATAAGAAAGAAGAAGAAAAATTTTTCCCCCTTAAAATGGTTCTGAATTGTAAAAAAATAAATACAAATAGAAATTGATCCAATGGGCACTCAATTGGGGCTGAGAATTTCTTTAGAAAGATTATCACTTATGGTTCTCCTATCAAGACATTTAGATCATGGGCCCACCAGCTATTTATCCCGATCCATAGGCAAGCAGTCTCTCTCTCTCATACACATTATATAAACAATTAAAACATATATAAAACTAGCCGAATGGCCCGGGTTTTACCCGATTAAATGTTTTTATTCAAATACTATTCGTTACAATTATAAATTGGCGCCGTGGATGTCATTCTTGTATAATATATAAATGAGTTTTAAAAATTGTAAAAAAAAAAAAGAAAATGCATCGGCCGGAAATCGAACCCGGGCCGCCCGCGTGGCAGGCGAGCATTCTACCACTGAACCACCGATGGTTATGAGAAATGTCCATATTTGGGTATTTATTCCATTCACAAAAGCAAACGGTGACAGAATTGATTATGACGCTGATAACTGTATATTTTAATTAGTCAAAAGAGCTTTATCACCATGTGAGGCTCAAATAAATGAGGCAATGATACACAAAAAATAGCACAATTACAAATGCAAATATTCTTTTATTTGATTTGCTGATGACTATTACTCATAGCTCATCTAGTTTTGATAGCTTTTTTGACCCCTTCCAGCCAGCTCATTGGAGGTTTTCCTCTTATCCTTCAATTTTTCCCAACATCAACATATTTTCTAAGCCTTGCTCTTATTATGTGTCCAAATTAAGTCAGCCTTTAAAATATTTGTCATTTTATCTATCAATGGCAGTCTGAGTAGCTTTCACCATTATCCACATTTCAAATCTTCAATTCTTTTAGTTTTCTTCTTTTCTGAGTCCAGCTCTCACATTCATAAGTGGCCATAGGAACACTAATGCCTTTAAAATTATACTCATTGTGTCTTCAGAGAAATGCTTTTATCTTCCATAATCTTGTTCAATTTCACCATTATGTTCCAGTCTAGGGCTATTCTTTTTCTTTTACTTCTTCTATAATCAATCTTCTGTCTTATCGATCTTAAGAAGATATCAAGCTTTATTTTTTTAAAGAGGCTCTTCCTCAAAGATACATTGGCGAGTTATTGCTTTGTATTGCATTTATCTAAAGCAGGCATATGTCAAACTCGCGGCCCGCGGGCCTCATGCGGCCCACAGCGAATAAATTTGCGGCCACCAGACAATATATTTTAATAAAATTTTTTTTATAAATTTAAAAAAATTTCCCCCGAAGTAGGAAAGATGGTAGCAGAAAAGAGATGCCAAATATCAGGGATAAAATATTAACTTTACTTTCTTTTTTTCTTATTAGTATTTTTTAAAATAAACCTACATAAATCTTACTATAAAAATGTAATTACTTGTTTTCTTTTTTTGCGGCCCACATAATCTTATTACTTTTTTATTTGGCCCGTGTTAGGATTTTGAGTTTGACATGCTTGATCTAAAGAATCTGACATATATTTTGGAGAATCCCACACCAGCAGAGTAAATACCAAAATACATATTTACCATCAAGTACAACAAAGCCTCCACAACAAATATGTGAACTAGACCTCCCGTGGGTAACCCTTGTGATCACCTCCCTGAGCAGTCACTTTAATAACATCACTTGACCTAACCTAACTCAATCTCCAAAAGGAAACCATCTCCTGGAAAGCCCAAAAGTACCCAGACAATGTCTCCTAGGAAGTTCTGGCGTATGTAATAAATCAAAAGAGCACTCTCCATGAAGTGAGATCAGAGGAAATGCTGAACATCCTAAAGAGACGGCACCAAACAGTGGCGGTAAGCTTGAGAAGAGAGAGGGCATTCATTTAAAAAAACCATATGGAAGATTGAAACTAAACACAACACAAAACCTGTTTCAAATGTAAATGAGGACTTTTGGGAACACGAACCTACTGGATCAAACTGTTTGAGAAGAATAATTGCCTTTGTATGGATTAATGATGGTATAAGAAGTACAAGGAACGGCGAAACAAAAAAAGTCGGTGGACGAGTGGGTAACACCCTCGATTCCGACAGTCATGAACCGGGATTGAATCCCGCGTTAAAATTTGTTTAATATGTGCTTCACATATTATTCATTGTTCAATTATCATGAACTAGGTTGCTCTTGCTGAGCGGTACCTATTAATGTGATTTGAACCAAGAAGTACAATAATACAGAGTATATAGAGAGAGAAACCTGGAGCTGTTGGACAGTTGTAGTCCTGGAGCTGCTGGAGGGTGGAGAAGCACAGGTTGGAGAGCATCCTCTCCTTTCCCCAGTGTCACTTTGATGACAGGCCTGGACACACAGTGGCACATTCACACAATGCTAAACTGGTTGGATGTCTTAAACACCAAGGAGTAGAGGTAATAAGACCAAATCCAAATAAATAAATAGTGTGTGACGTTTCGGTAACAGCGTTGTGTACCATCTTCAGACAAAAGTACTGAAACAAAGAATAAGGATTTTTTTTTTTTTGCTTATCCCTAGTACACGTGGTATAGGTCATGATTTTTTTTTTTTGCTTATCCCTAGTACACGTGGTACAGGCCATGATAATCATGGTGGGTAGTTAGCGACTGCTTTTTACTGTAAGCGCACCACATGTCTACACATGTAAAAGCAGTTCGACTTTGCACTTACAAATGTGCCAGAGTCCCGTTTGGTTACTTGCACTCGCTGGTGGGGTTGGACTTTTGCAAGAATCGGGGGGCCATTGAAGCATTTTTTTTTTTTAAACAGAAAAAAGTGTCCAATGCGGGAATCGAACCCGGGTCGTAGTGGTCGTAAACCAAACGGTTTAACCAGCCTTCCACCGACCGGATGAAGGAGTAGAGTAAAACCTGTGTGAAACCTTTTGTAGGCAGCACCATGGGATACCATGCTCAAGTAATTGCTATCACCCAGTTCCAGTTGTCCGTTTCCTGAATACAATAAGGCAGGTTCTGTGTAGCTACACAA